ATTGAAATCCTATTGAAATCCTATTGGTTCCCGATTGCCCAGCAGGAATTCCTATTGTTTTCCTATTCTGGGCCTATTGTGGGCCTATTTTTTCTCTAAAATAGAGAAACAATAGGCCCACAATAGGCCCAGAATGGGCCGGCAATAGGATAATAATAGGAAAATCTCCGAACCAGCCTTTTCAAAAAGGGGGTCGCCTCGGCCTGAAAGAGGGGGTCGCCTCAACTTGGAGGCCCTTCTGGTGCCAGGCTACTAGGGTGCCAACCTGACTGACCCCTCTCCCTCCCCCACCACAGTCCCACCACAGCCCCACCGCAGCCCTCCCTCCCTGATTCCCTCCTCCCCCTCCCTCCCCCATCCCTCGCTCTTGGCAAGGCTACGCCAGCTGCAATTCATGCTGGCGAAACCCTTGGAAGCCAGAAATCTGCGGCCTGAGCCGAAAACACAGATCGCCCTGAGATCCAAAACATCAAATCATAACCAGCCCACAACCTTGCTCACTACAATCCTAGAAACAACAAACCCTGCAACTGACCACTTTTCAATTCTATTAAAATCCTATTGTTTTCCTATTCTCAAGGAACTCCAAGATCCTATTGAATTCCTATTGTTTTCCTAAAAGTAATTATTTGCAACCACCTTGTCTCTAGTCTCTGGGTCCTTGGCTGCTTTTTCCTGAAGAGACTCCCGGGTTGCCTTCGAGGCCATAAGGGTAGCTCTCTACATTAGGGTCCCCCTTTTTTGGGGCCCTTTGTTTAAACAAGGGTGCCGGATTTTGTTGGGGACCTAAAAGGGGACCCCAATGTAGAGAGCTACACATAAACAGGAGACTCCACAGAGGTGTGTCACCTGAAAAAAACTTCAGGCTGTCTCCATGGGGTCTCCGCTTCAGGGCCCTAGAAAGTCATGGCCACATATGGACCGACCAAAAGCCCCTATAGTGAACCTCAGAAAGTTGGAACATGGGTTTAAGCTTGGATCCCCCTATCACTGACCTTAAGGGCATCAGGAGAACGATGTTCCAACTTTCTGGCTTCTACTTTTCCCTAAACCCTAAACCCTAAACCCTACTTCAAGGTGTGCCCATTCGTGGGCAAAGGTCTTCTTTACATGCTTGCAGGAAGCCCGGGAGAAGCCGAAGTCCGGCCCAAGACCACAGAGGCTGCGGATAGTATCCTTACTCTGTATTCATCATATACATATATATATATACGTATATATGTTTTCTTTGTGTGTGTATGCATACATATATACATAAATAAATAAGTAAATGTATGTATGTGTGTATATATATATATATGTGTACATGTATGTGTATGAACTTTATGTTAGACTTGCTGCCTAAACATCGCAAAAGATTCGCCGCTGAACCTGGGCTGGATTTCGACAGGTCCCAGGGGCCAAAAATGCGTCAAAGAGGTGCCAGCTTTGTTTGTAGCCTCTCTTGGGCGTAGCCTCCTCTGACTTCTCTGAAAAGCCCAAGGACTCCAGCTGCTTCAAACGTAGGTCACTAAATAAAGAAATAAATAAATAAATAAATATATATATATATATGTATATATATATGTACACACACAAATGACCCAGTAACCCATTTAGGCAGCTGGAGCCCTAGGGAATTTGAAACTGCGGCCACAGACCCGCACAGGGAACTTTGGTTAAGCACTGCAGGGCTTTTCGGGGGTCCAGAACTTAAAACCTTCTTGGAGGGTTTACGGCTTAGGGGTTCAGGGACCCTTATACGGAACCGCAGCCTTCGGACTCAAAGGATTGCACTGCGTGTGGCGGAGGACGAGCGGCTACCGAAAGCCAGCTGCAAGGAATCTGAGGATCAGCGGCCTCTGTCTTACAGGCTGTAGGGTTTAGGGTTTATATAGGGTTTAGGGTATAGGGTTTAGGCGTCGGATTCGGAGAGTCCGAGAGTTCAGGAGCTTGGGGTACCAACGCCGAAGTAATGTAGAAGCCTTGATAATTAGAATAGGGTTCTGGGGTACAATTATACCAAAACTATAATACGAACCCCCTCCCCCCCCCCAAAAAAAAGAAATAGTATAGGTAATTATGTAGGCCCCTATATTGCATGCACGGAACACGGAACTCTCCATGGCAAAAACCTCAACAGCCTCTTTTACCCAAGAAGCCCAGGGAGGATCCAGTGAAAGCTGAGCAGCAGAAGCCACAGCGGCACTCCGGTGCTTCTGAAGGCCCCACCTGGGCACGCGGAGTGAGGCCTAAACCCCAAATAACCCTGAATAACCCTAAACCCTAAACCTAAATAGCCCTAACCCCTGAAGAACCCTAAACCCGAAAAAAAAAAATGAAACTAAATAACCCTAAACCCTAAATAACCCTGAATAACCCTAAATAACCCTAAACACTAAATAACCCTAAACGAGGCTCAAAACACCTTCCGATGTTGTAGGCGTCCGACTGTTGTCCAAGTCTGCAACATGTTGAACATGAACATTATCGGTTGGGGCATCTGGACAATTCCCCTAAACCTATATAAACCCTAAACCCCTAAGCCCGAAACCCTAAACCCCTAAACCCTAAACCCCTAAACCCTAAACCCTAAATCCCTACACCCCCAAACTCAAAACCGTCGATCCTTCGACCGCAGACCCCGGGGCCCGGGCTAACGCGGGGCACGTGCTCCCGGCGAAAGGCTAATCCCTGCGCATTCTGGACTAGCGCGCCCAAAACACACTCTTGCAGGGCAATGATGGACGACTACAAGAGGTTGCTACTGCTGCAGATACCCAGCAATCACAGCATGAAGATAACCACCCAATCATTCCAGGAACTAAAAATACACAGTGTCCTCCATGGGCTCTTCGTGCTCTTCAATGGGCTCCATGGGCGCACCGCGGAGCCTCGGCTGTGGTTCTCTGTGCCTTTGCTTTGCAGCAATAGTTGGCGACACGCACACAGACAAAAGAGCAAGGTGGTGGTGGTGTGCGTAGTAGGAGGAGGAGCAGGAGTACGACTAGGAGTAAGTGTAACAGCAATGCAGCATCGTTCACAACAACACGTGTTGGCAAAAAACATGTTCCGGGGAAGTGTATACTTTACTTCAAAATAGGTGTATTAAACTAGAACTATGCAGGAATATCGGTATATCATACTATTATGCATAGGGACAATAAGGTGACACTCAATGCTAGTTATTCCGATGCCTATATTCGTCCATAGCAGCAGGACCATGGATAGGTTCTTGCCACTTGATGCTTTAAAGGTTGGCTGCACTGCTGAAACCCACAAAAAACTGTATTGTGCTATACTATACTATACTATACATCTGCATACCATGCGACTTCATACTAGACTAGACTAGACTAGACTACCCACGGGCCCCGAAGTAGTTCCTTTTCGGGACTACCTTATAGGATTCTAAATATAAACCATAGAGAGGAACTACTTAGGGGCCTGAGTAGACACTGGAAGGGGGGGCAAATTCTGATCTCTTCGAGCAGCCGCGGAGCAGCCTCCCCTTGTCAAGGAAGCTCAGCTCGTGCACTTCCCCGGCTGGGGCGTGCATGGCGCTGACGAACTGCCTCGCGGATTGCGCCGGATTAGGGATTAGGGTTTTAGGGTTTGGATTAGCAGATGCTTTCGGCTCTTGCGATCTGATACCGTGGTCGTATTCGTTGCAGGCTCTGTGGCGGAGGTCTTGCCGGGGAAACTTGGAGCAGCTGTTCTAAGCGAACTTCGCATGAAACATTGGGTTCAAGACTGGAGCCCAGTTTCCGAAGCCTCCATCGGGGGCTGCCTCAAGGCTTGTCTCACTCCGGATTCGCGACTAGAGACTCAGGCCTAAATCTCCCAATCTCCCGCGGCGTCAGCAGGGTGTCGGTGATCCGCAGGTAGGTGAGGGAGTGCAGGTCATCCTGCGGAAACAGCGTCGCGGCGTATCGTATGCATGATAAAAGAAGAACCGTAAGGCATAGTACTCGCTTTTTTCGGCCCCTGCATTAAAATGGGGGTTTAAGCCCTTATAGATCCCTTTAAGGGGCCCAAAAAGGGACCCTACTCCCAAATCGGATCCGCCTTGTATGAAAGCATCTGCTCGTAGGCTCTCTGGTCGTAGCCTTGCTCTGCAGGGCATGAGGCTTGGTTTTAGGGGGGGTTTAGGGGGGTCCGTTAAGGATTCCTTTACGGGCTATATAGAGTTCTATGAGGGTTTAGAGGTTTATAGGGTTTAGTGGTTCGGGTTTAGGGTTTGGGGTTCCGGGGTTTATAGGGTTTGGACTGGGCTCATCAAACCACGATGTAGCACACAATCTCGCGGCCTGAACTGCCAGAAGACAGTCTTTCCTTCCAGCGTTCCGGCGGCTACATTGATGCGTCTCTTTCCCCACACCTCACGCCTCTTTCAACGCTGACTCATGACTTATGTTGCTCGGTTCTGCTGGGGGAGGCGCAAAGGCAACACCCCAAGAAATGATCAACGGCGAAGCTCATAATTTCCCGCAGTAAATTACCCGGGCAACGCTGCAGAGCGTTCTCGCCGGAGAATGCGATGCCTGCATCCTTGGAGGCCTGGCGACAGAGGGTTTCAGGTTCCAGACTCTGTTTCAAAGTGAGGCCGGCACTTTGTCGTGCGCTATCATCCCTGAACCGCTATAGTCCCTAAGCCTCTCAATGCCTGACCCCTGAGCCCCCATACACCCTGCCTAGATGACCTTGATACTAGAACAGCGTTTGGAGGGACGTGATGATGCTGTGGTGGAATATAGAACCCTAGGAATAGTATCGCTATGTACTCAGACTTCTAGATCAAGACCCCTGTAAAAAGCCCTGAAGCCCTATAAGCCCTGAACCCCTGTGAAATCCTAGTAACTAGATGATTTCCCTTGCCGTTAGAATATAGGGTTTCGCGGGGGTACGATGATTCGAACCAGGAACCCAGGATTTTCAAACTTTCAGACTTCTCGACGAGCTCGATGGCACTTTATTCGAACAGTGTTTCGTTCAAATTTTCTGAGCCCTTATGGATCGCAAAGCCCTGTAAACCCCGAACTCCTCTAACCCCTGAGCCCTTATCAACCCCACTATCCCGAAGCCCTCATGCTCCAAAAGTGCCCCAAACCCGAAGCCCCAAACCCTAAACCCTAAAACCCCTTGTACTCCAAAAGTGCCCCAAACCCTAAACCCTAAACCCTAAACCCACCATGTACTCCAAAAGTGCCCCAAACTCGATGGCCTGGATAACCTGTGCGACCAAGTCCTGCGGGCTCGATGCGGCAGCGGGCGGCTGCTCAGTGTCCCTCCTTAAGAAGGGTTTAGGGTTCAGGGTTTAGGACATGTTTTTCTTTGGGTAATGGGGTTGGGTACTAATTACTGGGTTCTTGTTAAGGGATTTTAGCTAACTTGCCAGAATAAAGAAGCCATAGTTGGTAATCGGGCTGGGTACTAAGAGGAACCTGAAGGGCTTTTCATCTCCAAAAGGGTCCCATGTAACTGGACAAGGGCTTGGGGACACACTTCTGGTTCCCTGTTAGGGCCGTATTAAAAAATGATCATTTTTAATCCTTATTAGGGTTCTATTAAACTATTATAACAAAGATGTAAATTGTATCCAACAAGGACCCAGATTATCGACTAGTTGTCTGGGAACTCCCTGTGCTGGAATCTCTGAGGCCATGCACTTGTGGAGTTACCCCTCAACCCCTAAATCCCAAACCCTAAACCTTAAACCCTAAACCTTAAACCCTAAACCCTAAACCTTAAACCCTAAACCTTAAAGCCTAAACCTTCAACCCTAAACCCCTATACCCCTATACTATACCCCGAAGTCTTCGACTGAGGCGCATCTCCAAGCATGTGAAGTCCAGGACTTTGGCGCCCGAGTCCAGGAGCATCTCGCGGGGTGAAAGGGCTTAGGGAGTCAGGGGTTCAGGTTAGGGCTTAGGGTCAGTAGCTTTACGATTTAAGGGGTTTCGGGATCAGGGCTTCAGGGTTTGAGGTTATAGGACTCACAACTAGGACAAACACACAAAGGCGCCAAACCGAGCAACAAAGGTGTACGCCAGAGCATGCGTTCCCTCTGTCCCTCCCTTCCTCCCTCCCTACGGACGCGGCCTCCGCAATCTCCAGGTATGCATTGCGATCGTTGGTGTTGTAGTAGCCTCGGCGGCATTTGGGGGGTGACCCTTGATACGGGCTCTTCCATATGGGCCACTCTGGGGCACTCCAACAACATAACCCCCCAAAACTCCGTCAGAGCGCCAGCGGTCAGTTCGGCAGCATGTGACGAAGAGTTGTGCCACCAATGGAGGCCGGAAATCTTCGCCGAGATCTTCACCTCAAGGCGGCTCGGTTTGGATACCCCAATTTTTTACATTATACACCGACCGTATATACATGTGTATATATATATATGTGTATATATATATATACACATAGTCTCTTTTACATATAGTATATAATATGTAATAAATGAGGTTATAATATAGTGGTTTAATGAATATATATATATATATATGTATCTTAACTAGGATGCATACAGAGTATATGTACGTATAACTGTATAACTGACAACAATAATAATCTTGATACTAATACATGTACCTATGGATGGATGTATACTGTATATTGTGTATTGTTTATTGTAAATGGCAAAATACGTCATGTATATACATGCCTTATGAAAATATATTGTTGTGTATTCTACATGCCATAGTTGATTCTAAATCTCATATATCGTATACTCTACATTCTACATACTATATTATACAAACATTTTTCTGAAATATTATGTGCATGTTTTATTTGCATATATATATATGCATATATCTGTGAAGATATATATATATATGTATGTATATATCTATATGATGATGCTGCTGCTGCTGATGATGATGATGATGATGATGATGATGACAACCCTTCTGAGCCCTAAGCCCTATACACCCCTAAACCCCTATACACCCCTAAGCCCCTTATGGAACCCTTCTAAACGCCCTCATCGGCCCTGGTGCCTTCGGACCCAGGGCTTCCCCGGCTTGCCTCGGATAGGAATAGCGGACAGTGCTGGCTTCAAACTCGGAAGATTAAAGCGTACAAGTTTAGGGTTTAGGGTTGAGGGCTTTAGGGTTTAGGTTGAAACTAAACCAGCGGCGGACCCATTTTCTGGGTTGTGGGATTTGGTTTAGGACGCTCGAATGAGGGTTGTTTTGATGAAAGGGTTTTCTTCGGGACTGTAGGCTTGGGGCTTAGATCTGATAGAGAACCCAGGACCCCTCAATTAACGAATATACCTGAAATCATAATATTTGAGGTATGTTCCTTAATTAAGGCGTCTTGGGTTCTCTGGGCTGATAGATTCTATAGGACATCTTCATACTCGGATGCAGACTCAGAAACACTACCCGAGGGTTGTCTTCGTATGATGCGTCTTTCGTTTCTCTTTCTTGATTCAGGGTTTGGTGTTTAGGGTATATAGGGCTTCTGTCAGGCTTCTATAAGGTACATAGACCTTCTATCAGGCTCCTATGACGGTAACTGCCCACCTGAAAATGTCCTAGACCATGTGACAGGAGGCTTAAGCCCTCGACCCTAAGCCCTGAATAGTTTCTTGTGCCAGGAGGCTTTAGGATGTTGGCCCCGTGCTCTTTCAGCGCCCCAGAGTACCAGTCCAGAAAGAAGCGGCCTTTTCAGGTCTTGCACTGAGGGTTTTAAGCATTTAGGCAGTTTAGGCTTCTTTACATTACTTGGAGGTTCATGGGTAGCTATAAGTGGAGTCATAAGTCCTTTAACTTGGGTTAGAACTCCAGCTATCCTACTTATAACCCTACTTATAATATTATAACTACTCATGAACCCCCAAGTAGGATTTCTGTATGTCGTGCTTTTAGGGTCGGACGGGCCTTTTCTGGCTTCTGGGCTCTGGGGTTCTCAAGGGCTTTGGCAAGCTTGAATTAGGTTTCCCAGAGACCCCAATTTACACCTTAATTAAGGAATATACCTTAAATTATAGGGGCCTTAATATTATGATCTAAGGTATATATTCCTAAATTAAGATGTATTGGGTTCTCCGGGTTCTACATTACGGAGTAGAGACGAGCTTAACCAAGGTTTCGTCGTCGACGGACTCGTCGTCCTGCGCAGGTCGCTCCAAAATCCGAGTTCGGCTCTCCCCCACACCCCAAACCCCGTGATGTTATGAGTCGCCACAGACCCAAATCCCCTGAAACCCTCCCCGCCGAAAATACCGAGTCAATAAGCATGTGCAAAGTGCAAAGCCCAGGCACCACTGGGGGAGGAGTAGCCCGTCCTCGGCGACTTGAAAGCGGGGTCGGCCAGGGGGCTCGGCTCAGAGGCGAGGTCAATGACTGAATGTAGGATTGCCGAGCGCATGTGCACTATGCGATGAGATGCACTGGGTCAGCGGTCCTACGTGGACCACGAGGGAGATATGATGCTGGTTGATCATCGCCATTGTCACCGTGTCACCAGCACCAGCACCACCAGCACCACCAGCACCACAACCACCACCATCATCACCCCCCCTTCCGCTGTCGTCATCATCCTCACCGTCGCGGTCACCACCATCATCATCATCATCATCATGAACAGTCAGTAGAGAGGGTGTAAGATCCCGAAACGTTTCAGGCTAATCTTCCGCGGGGGTGGCAGTAATTCCGGGGGTCAGCGCTTGGCCATAAGCAGAATCTGAACAGGCAGAGGGGGCTTGAAACTTCTTGAGAGAGCCCCCAGAGAACCCAATATACCTTAATTGAGGAATTATATGCCTCAAATTATAGGGGCCTTAATATTCTGATTTAAGGCAAAGTCCTTAATGAAGGGGTATATTGGGCTCTCTGGGCCTGTCTGCAGCCCCGCGGCGTGAAGAACTCGGTGTCCTGCTACCCGGATGAGCAATGCAACCATTAGGGTAGTTCTCAAAAATAGGGTCCCTTTTTAGGGTCCCTTTTGAAAAGGGTGCGGTACTATATTGGGGACCCCTGGGCCTTTATTAGGGTTCTTAATGTGAACCCCAATATAACCCCGATATACATATACATACATATATATATATATTGGGATTCTAGGGCCAGGGTTTCTTCATCAGGTTCCTACATTACAAAGTTGCATTCCAAGTGCCCTAAGCGGGCTTGTCCCAACCATACTGCTTCTTATACCCCCTCTGACTCCAGACGCAAGTAGGCCATGCGATGGATACGAAGGAGTATCATTAGGATCACCGCTGCTTCTGCGCTCCTTGCGAAGCTCTCTGTAAACTCGCTCCTGTCCTAAAAACCAAGTTCTGCACTGCTCTATACTGAAGGGTAGGGAGAACCCTTAAAGAACCCGTATAGATCCGTTGAAGAACCCTTCGAGCAACCCTTCAATAGAACCATCCCTAAACCCTAAACCCTAAACCCCTAAGCCCTAAGCCTAAACCCCTAAACCCCTAAACCCTAAACTCCCAAAACCCCTAAACCCCTAAACCCTAAACCCCTAAACCCCTAACCCCTAAACCCCTAACCCCTAACCCCTAAACTCCTAAACCCCTAACCCCTAAACCCCTAAACCCAAAACCCTTATAGAACCCTAAAGATCCCTTAAAGGACCCCCTACAATTAGTCGCCTCTGGCTGGTCGTTGTACGTCCCTGCGGCCGGAGGAGTCTCACAGCCGTCACACCCAGCAGATTCGGCTGCGAGCCTCCGCTGAAGCTTTTTGCTTTTTGTTTGCTTTGGGTTTAGGGTTTAGGGTTTAGGGTTTAGGGTTTAGGGTTTTAGGGTTTTAGGGTTTAGGCATTTAGGTTTCTGGGCTTTGGCCGAGTTTTTGGAAGAGGGGGTCGTCTAGGGCTTTAGGAAGGATAGCTTCTTGGTAAAAGTGGGTTGACTGGGGAGGGGATCTGCGGTTGAGGGCCTTAGAGGCTTATTAAAGGAAACTACAAGTGGGGAGTTTTTAGGGTATATGGGGCTTCCATAAGGCTTCTATAAGGTATATAAACCTTCCATAAGGCTCCTGTGACGGTAACTGCCCACCTGAAAGTGTCCTAGAACTTAAGGCTCGAGGGTTTCACTGCGGCTTCTGGTGCAGGCTGAACTGCCTAGGGATCCGATGTCAAAAAGGCTTGTTATAGCCAGAGAGCCCAGTACCCCTTAATGAAGCAATATGTACCTCAAAATCATCATATTATGAGGCCCCGATAATTTAAGGCACTATTCCTTAATTAAGGGGCAAATTGGGCTCTCTGGGGTCATCACGGCTGATATGGAACGGCACCATGATGAGAGAGACATCCAGAGCAATCACCCCAAGTGCAGTTCTCCTGTTCAGACACGTGATCATCAAATGTTCCAGAGCAGACTTCGCTCCAGCAACTAAACAACATATATAATTTTACGCTAGTTGTGGGTGATTCGAAAGCCCCCCCCCCCTCCAACCGAGAACCATCTGTAGCCTTAGGCTCTCCAGCGCGTGCTTGTCGTGGCATTGAAACTCGCCTGCAGATGGGGCTGTCCATCAGCATATGATTGCTTTTTTAAAGGGTGCGTGTTTGTTGCTTCATTGATACTGTTGTTTGGGATTGCTAGTTGGGCCCCTCATTCCTGCATGCAGCCATGCCATGAGGCTTTCAATTTGTTCGATCCAAGCTGTTCAGGGAATAAACAGTCTAGTCTCGAAGTGGATTCGTCAGGAAATCGTACAACCTGCGCCAGAAGCACACCAGCTTACGCCCTACGTCATCTTTCGAGCAACTTCTTGAAATTGAAACTCCCACTTAAACCCTAAACCCTAAACCGATGCTACTTCGGTAGTTGAAACTCCCAGCGTTGATCACTGAGCACTTGGCCGATGCCGGGAAAGCTCCACCGATCCAGCGGGTACGAAGGATACCTGGCCGCTATTGTAGGGTTTAGAGTTTAGGGCTTAGGGAAAAGAGCTTAAAGAATAGGGTTTAGATGTTTGGGCTTAGGGTTTAAAGTTTAAAGAATATGGTTTAGAGTTGAGGGTTTAGGGCATTTTAGAGTTTAAGGACCTCTCCATACTACCAAGACCTCAAAAACTCGAAACCTGAGCTGATTCCGGGTCAGCGAGGGTAGCACTCCAGCGGCTTCTGCTTCGGGGCATCATGACGAAGCTCATGCGACTGAACATCATGGGGCTACTGGAGTTACTGCATTTTGAAGCTGGATATCGTGACGATCCGTGACCACTGCCACCACTAAGCCCTAAACCCTAAACCCTAAACCACTACCATCACGGATTAAGATCGTCTGCATGGCCACCAGCCCGACTCACCCCCGGAACTTCAACTCTCCATACCCAGGGAACCCAATATAATAGCTTGATTAAGGAATATATGCCTTAAATTATAGAGGCCTGAATATTATGAGTTTCAGGTATGTTTAAGGAATATATGCCGTAAATTACAGGGGCCTTAATATTATGTCTTAAGGCTTATATTCCTTGATTAAGGGGTATTGGGTTCTCTGGGTGCCTCATCTCGCCGCATGGGCCAAGACCCACCTGGGCTGGGATACACAGTACACCAGATCCCATGATGAGTTGAAGCCCCTTCTTTAGTCATATTGGCATTCCTGAAGCCTGGGCCTAAACCCAAACCATGTGGGAAATCTTTTTCGGTCTCCGATATGCCATCGTCCTTGTTTGAGCACCAGTAGTACATGTGACTGTCCAAAGAGGTATAAAGCTCTCATAAACCTCTCAGACTTAGTAAGAGATCGCAAACCCTAAACCAAGCCTCTAATTGAATTCCGCAAGGGAAATCCCGAAACAATGAACCTCGGTGACCCTGGAACCCGGCAGTCGAAACCTCTGGAGCCCGAATTGCTGCACCAAACAAGACACGATGGGATTTTTCTGAACTTTCCTCAAAGTGGCCATCACTTCGACGATTGGGTCGCCCAGGTCCTTTTTTGGGGCGTACTTTGGGAGACGGAAATACCTTGTCTCCTTGAGTTTGGGGGGTCTGTAGAGACTTTGGCTTGGGAGTCCTAGTCCAGAAGCAACCGCATCGGGACACCCTACACCCTACACCCTACACCCTACACCCTACACACACCCCTAAACCCTACACCCTAAACCCCTAAACCCTACACCCCTAAACCCTACACCCTAAACCCTACACCCCTAAACCCAAAACTCTGCACCTAAAACCCTAAATCCTCACCGAGCCATCAACTCTCCCTTTAGGCCCCTACCGGGTGAGAGCTGAGCCTTCCTGCGTTGAACCCTCGGATAAAAATGCATTTCACCATGGTACCAGTAGAACCATAAGGGGGTCTAGGGTTTAGGGTTTAGGGTTCAGTTGTTTTGGGTCTAGGGTTTAGGGTTCTGTTTTTTGGGGTTTAGGGTTTAGGGTTCAGTTTTTTAGGGTCTAGGGTTTGGGGTTTTAAGTAGAAACATAAGGGGGGGGTGATATGCTCATGGAAACAGACACGCTAGCAATCCTGTCAGGAACCACCATGACCATCATCAGCAGCAAGATCATCTCGGCATTCACCCAGCCCGACTTTTCAGGGGTCTATATGGGGCTTTCCGAAAATAGGGGACCCTAATCTAGTATCCTGAAATAGTAGGATCCGTATTATAAAGGACCGCAGAATAGGGTACCCCCTACTTTTCGGAAACTCCCATTACTCACAGAATAACCCTTATAGTACCCTTCTAGGAACCTTCTAGAAACCCTTATAGATCCCTTTAAGGGACCCTTATCCCTAAACCTCCCTAAACCTTCCTAAACCCTAAAACCAAAACCCTAAACCCCCTAAACCCTAAGCCCAAAACCCTAAACCCCCTAAACCCTAAACCCTAAACCCCAAAAAGGGACCCTATTTTTATGTGGGCGCCTTTCCCCCTCCGACCGGTCCTCTGCAAAGGCCTCAGAGAAGGCAGCAAACCAGTCGCCTGCAGCGTCCGCGCGCGGCTCTGGCTCCCAGAGAACCCAAGGGGATCCTTATATAAAGGGATCCTTAAAGGGATCCTTAAAGGGATCCTTTAAGGGATCCTT